CCTTTTCGTTTTATCTTAGCACGCTCCTGCTCCCCCTTTCTTCCTATCACTAATTAGGATCTGTAGCAAATTATGATTTCAAAAGTACTGTATTTTTCAAGTTTCCGCGATTTTTGAATAATTAAAGCTTCAAATGTTTCGGCCATCCTTTAAGAGTTCTAGCCAAAAAAAGTAATTTAAGAGCAATTAATATACTTGAAACTACGTCTAACAAAACAAACCGTGAAATAATGAACTTGTTTGTTCATTTAACTAAATCTAGATGAGGTATATTTGCATAAGTCAATCCTCGTAACAAATCCTCTCGTAGAACTTTACTACATCTTTAGGAACAAAATATTACATTGTCAGGTAGTCTTCCGTCGATCTTGTAAACTGACTCCCCGTACTCAAGCTGCCATCGTATCTCCTTATATATTTTTTTCAGACAAACACGTCATCCATCGGATTTCCAAAAACAGTATGTCTGCCAGCGGTCTCTATGTTACTTATTTCTGCTTTGATCACTTTTATATTCACTTCAACCATATGTATAGTATTTTATTTTGCACGCTATCAAACTTACGTGGTGAATCCAAAATTGTAAATTTTCAATAACTAATAAATTGTGCTTGTAAATAAACTAGGAAGGGTGAGGTTTAATGCAATTTCTACGAGTTTTCACTGGTCCTTTTTGCAGTGAAAATACATCAGAAAATGGACTGATTACCGAGCGCATTCAAAGGAAAAATTGAAGTGGGGGGTACCTGGTATAGTGAACAGAGAACGCTGCTCCAACAACTAGGTTGCGAATTTCTATGTCCTCCCTTAACAAGTTTTTATCGTACGGGATGCATGGATTTTGTTAGCCTTGATAAAAGCGCTCTGGTAGGTCGAAAGCCTTGGTACAAAAAGCGCAATTCACAATATACATCGCTCTTTCAATTGCCTTTATGATATATGTGCAGAATGCTTGAAGCCACGGAAACAGGTTGTCCAGCTCCAGGAAAATTGTAACTTATCTGGGTAAACACATATTCTTGACCTATGGTCCAACTACTGACTGGCGAAGTGAAT